CTTGAGGAAGAAGAAGAAGTAGTATGTATTTTTTTTTTTTTTTTAGACTTTAGAAACTCAGAAGCTGATCAAATATCGGGTTAAATATCGGTGGGGTGGCCGATGTCCGATATTCAGTTTTAAGGCCGATACCGATAGGGGGCCGATTATATCATGCATCCCTAGTGAATTGTTCTTTTTTTAGAAGTCTGAGGGCACCCAATGTGGTCCATGAGGGGCCCCTCGGTGCCCGCGGGCACCACATTGGTAACCCCTGGTTTAGACTATCATCCAAAAAGACAAAGGTGTGACACAACTGAAAACATAGGAAGTTAGTTGCAAGCTCAAATATAGAGAAAATAGAAAACAGAGAACACAAAGAGACCCATGATTTCTCTGGAGGAGCTGCAAAGGTCCAGAGCTCAGGTGGGACTGTCTGCTGACAGGACAGGGATCGGTCTTGTTCTCCACAGATCTGGCAATAAAAAAAAAGCACAAAAAAAATGTTAGCATGCCTCTATGTTACCTCAAATATTTAGAGGACATAACAGAGATGATTCTCTGGTCATATGAAACTTTTTTTGGCTTACATTCAACATGCATGTGTAAAATGTGTGTAAAATGAACAACCTGTGTCACTCTAAACAAACCATTCTCACAGCGAAGCAGACTGCGATCTCACTCCAAATTATAGTCATCACATGCTTATTTTGAATATAACTTTAAGCTGTCATGACATCAGTGTGTACTCATGATATAAGGCAGTCCCCTGAACTCAGCTGTTTGCCAAGAAAAACACTAAAGAATTAATGAATTTTCCTGTTTTGTTGAGAGCTGCTGCGTTTTGCTGACTGTCAGCATGTTCTTTGTACAGGTTCTTTGCACTGAAACGCACTGAAACATGGAGTACAGTGAAATAAGCCAGTGATGCTCGAAGCAGCAGCGGTGTTTATAGCTGACCTGTTGGTCAGTCGAGCAGAGTTACAGCCAGCTGCAACTTATTCACCAAAACCACATAGCAACAGTTTCATATGGAGCTTACTACCATTTATAATCCAGACGTATTATAACCGGTGGAACATGTGGAACTTGGTACGCTGTACTAATGAGGGTCACTTGGGAAATATATTAAACCAATCAGTGTCTGTGGATTAACAAAAGACCAGGAAGTTCCAATACATCTGCTCTCCTTTTATGATTTTATTATGTTTTTTAGGAATACATTTATTAGGGATTCCATGTGTTGTGTAACAGATTTCATATGCTTAAAATACTTTATCACAATAGCCAGCATTTTATTTACTCCACTAGCTTTTATACATACTTTAAAAAATGTTTGTTGTTGTAAATGGCTGACTTTGAAGAAAATAAGAGTGTTTCTCTCCCTTATAATTCTGACAATTAGTAAACAGTTTAGTCTGGTTTATTTCAACATGTCAGTAAAATAAAGGTTATAAAGGACATTTAAATATCTCTTTAAAACAGTACACATATTTACATTGAATTGTGGGTCTATCTTCAGTTCTGCAAACTAAAACCATAAAAACTCTGTCCTCTCCTCCAAGGTGAAGACATCTCAAATGAGCTGCCCTCTTCCTCGTCGTCTTCATCCTTACCATCTTCTCCCTCTCAAGCATCCTCCTCCTCTTCCTCCCAGCTTCCCAAATCTTCCCGTCGGACTCATGTGGATTTGCCTCCGAATCCCTCTGAAAATCTGCGGCTGGAGGTCGCTGCCCCCCATTTCCACAACAATCAGCTGCAGGTGAAGGTGTTCTGGAAGCGCTCTAATCACAGTGAGTAGATGTTAGGCACTAAACTGCAGATCTTATTTGGGATTAAACAGAAAAGCCATAGTTCTACACACTGTTTTCTATATTATAGACAAGCAGAGACAGCGAGGTCCTTTTATTTTGCGGTGGCATCCACACACCTGCAGTACAAATGTCACAAGAGGAGACAGAACAATAACGGTGGAGGTACGCATCGTCTTTACATGACCTGGTGTCCAGACGTTTTATTAATTCACACTTTTGTGTTATTTGCTGGTAGCAATATTTTAAAGATATCTAAAGTTTCATGTGTCTCCATCTCCTTGCCTTAGTCTCATTGGGTCTGTACTCAGATTTGCATGCATTTATTGCTATTTTGTTTATAGATATCACATTCAATAATAATTTACATTTTTGATTAAGTACTTTTTCTGCAACAATTCCTGCTCATGAAATCCCTTCCAATCTTATCTACTGTACCTCTATCATATATTTTGGCTTGTTGTTGTGGATGAAAGCGATAAGAAATCTAGTAGTGTGGGGAATTTTGTTCCATGATTACTGCAATGAAATAATATGTTTTGTAAATGGAAATAAAAATAAAAAAAAACACATTTTGAAAAATGGAAATTTCAAAAACCTAAAGGGGTCATAGAATGATTATATAGGGTATCTGGTGCTGGTCCTTAAGGTCACTGAATAGGGTGTGTAACATTGGTTTGGCTGAAAATGGCATATTTTCTGTTCTATGAGCCCTTATTGGCAGCCTGGTTAAAAGCCCTAGAATGAAACGACAGGTTTTCTTCCTTTTATGGTTTGATCATGAATATTTAGATGCACTGTGCACTGATTGGTTGGTTTACAACGAGCGAAGCTGCTGAGCAAAGACGCATCATACTGTAGCAACAAGCACTCACTCACTGAAACATCAAATAGTTGATATGGTAGGATGACCAGACGTCCTCTTTTTTTTCCCGGACATGTCCTACTTTTCATACCTAAAAAAATGTCCAGGAGGAATTTCAAAACTGTCTGTGATTTTGGTCGACTACAGTGCAGCTGAACCAAGCCGTCAGCTCCGGGGATGGTCCGGAAAGCACAGTAAGGCAGGCGGGGGGGAGCATACCATCACTGGGACCCGGACTAGCCCCGGTGGGTGGTTTTCAACAAGCTTTATTTAGAAAAAATAACTCAGCAAGCAGCTGATCATCAGCGGGGTGGACAACTGGATTCACTGCAGAGGTAGAAAACACAGGTCAGTGACTGGAATGTCGGGCTAATCATGACTAGCAGCAAAATGTCACTGACCTGGTTCATAGTCCATTCTGATCCCAGACGAAAGTGAGATTGTCCACCGTTTGCAGCCGTAGCTGCTTCCAGCGCCCCAAGTGACGATAAGCTGATGACAGCTGACGCTAAGGGAACAACGGTGTCCGTAAGGAGAATCCAAGAGAAACAGTCCAGGTTCAGTAACCAACACGATCCAGGAAAACAGTGAAAAAACCACAGCAGACAGAGCAGACAAGGGCGAGGCAAAAAACTCCAATACACAAAACAGAAAACAGACTTACTTTATGGCTAGAGTTACTTTCCCAACAGCTAAAATAATCTGACTCTGGTGGCTGAAAACAAGCAGCACATAAATGAGCTGGAAACAGGTGGATCGGATAAGTGGTAATGAGAAACCTAGCCTTGCCCCTGAGCAGCCCGCCCGGGTAGCAGCAAGAAGGTTCTAGATTCGATTCCCAGCCCAGGGTCTTCCTGCATGGACTTTGCTTGTTCTCCCTGAGCATGCATGGCTTCTCTCCAGGTACTCCGGCTTCCTTCCACAGTTCAAAAACATGCCTGTTAGGTTAATTGGCTTCTCTAAAGTCCACCAGGTGTGAATGGTTGTGACCTGTTTGTCTCTATGTTGCCCTGCGATGGACTGGCGACCTGTCCCGGGTGTACCCCACCTCTCGCCCATTGACGGCTGGAGATAGGCACCACCCCCCAACTTGGGATTAAGCATGTTAGAAAATGGATGGAGAAACCGGGAAGTGTTAAACAGGTGAATGGAATGAGCCAGCCACCAGTGCCAGGATCATGACACTACTGTCAGAAGCCAAAGAGAATCCAGTTGACCTCAGGAACACAGAAGGCAGACGATGCACATTGACACTAAAGAGGAACCAGTGAGGGCAGGGTGTGCATACAATCACTGGAATGATCCTGATACAGATAAGGATGAGACAATCTGGCAAAGACTGACAGAGAGAGGCAGATTTGAATAAGCATAATAAGAGCGGTGAGAAATGGGGTTGATAGGAAAGAGAAAGTCGCATCTGCTCAATGGAGCGAAGCCAACCAGCCCTGAAAAACAGACAGGGAGGATTTATGACAACTTGGCAGGTTTTTACTGTTATTTTTACAAAATAGTTTTTACTGAGGAGATTTCTGCTGAGCTGTTAGAGTAACCATGATTTATGCTCCCATCCACAGTCTGTCAGTTTAGGTGCATGTCAATGTCTTTGTTTAGAGTTTTACCAGTTTATCTACTCTTAGATGAGAAATTTTAAAAGTGTCCTGGGATGCAGAAAGGTTGCTATATTCTTCTGTTGACTAACCCAGCTTCAAACTGTTTATTAAAATTAACCGTGGTTTATCTAGAGCGCTGCTTGGTCTTTATCACATCATTTCAGTAATGTCTTTAGGTCTGTGGTTGAGGCATGACAAAATGTGAAAAGTTCAAGTGAATTCTTTTCCAAGGCACTCACAAATTCAAATAAATTGTCATATAGTATATCGTTTGTTCTTTTTTGATTGATACTACTCCCTCTGTTGAGCCAATGTTGAGCCAGAGGTGTAACATTTCATCCAAGACATGTCATATAAAACTGCTGTGCGCAATTTGCTGAGTTTACAGAAGTGAATTCCAGGCTTTTTGAAGCGGTAAGATTTGTTGCCATGTAAAGCTGCCAGGGTTTGTCCGAGTGTTTATTTTATATTGGAGTGAACAAGTGCTTGTGAAAGACAGGTGCTGAAACAATAAGTAGAGGAAATGTGTATGAGTTAAGCATCCTTGGTTTTAATGAAAGTTGTTGATGCACATTTAGTTAAAATGAATATAACTTTTTTTAAACACTTTTAGCTGCCTCTCCACTTAAGTTTTCTCTTCTCTGCAGGGTAAACACCACACTATTAAAGGTCTGCAATTTGCCTGCAAGTACAGGGTCTCAGTGGCAATGGCGGCTGATCCGAAGGTAGAGGCTGTTGCCTGGGTTACAACCCCGACTTGCTCCTCCTTTAGGGTCAGAGGAGACAGAGCTTCACCATGCAGCAAAGACGGTAACAGACTTTCCATTTAAAACATTAATTAAATTAACTAAAGTTGAAATGGGACATTTTTACAAGAGATTTAATTTTTTTAGTGTTAATAATTCTTAAATAACAGTAAACTAATTCATACCAGTGTTGTGTATAAATAAGAAAATGATTAAATATTTCCTTCTATTTTTGTTTTAGAGCGCCCCCTGGCAGGGAGAAAGGTGGTACTGCGTCCAGAACGACTGACTGCAGACTTCCATCAAGTCAATGGTACTTTGCTCACAACGTTTCGCTGGAGGATGTCCCATCATGCAGTTGACTCAGCAGCTGTGGAGGGCTTCCAGTTCACCTGGAGTCTGCAGCCTGAGCTCAGTCCTGCAGAACCGAGGCATGAAGATGCTCTTATCTCCCAGACCCAAACTATTGCACTGGTAAGGCAAAGCAAACACGACAGGTTTGTTCATACACCCCCACCATTTATACAGGAGCTACTTGTGTTAAATAAAGAATTTACAGGTTGGTTTTCCATTTCACATGAAGTCCCTAAACAATTATTTGTAAACTAAAGAGATTCTGTTTCTGTCTTTTGTACAATTGTGCTTGAACGTTTACATACCCTCCCTTTAAATGATAAATTCACACTAAACTGAAAAAGGTAATAATAGAATTAACTTAATTATGATTTAGTCAAATAAAATATCAATTTCAGATTGTTATTTTTTTTTATATTCCCAAAAAATCAAAAACTAAGCAGAGAATTAAATTATCTTGCTTATGAACAGCGAATCAACATATCTGTCAGCAGGTGCAAAACTCTAAACGAACATTTTCAGAACATTACAGAAAAAAACTATTGGTTCAGGAGCTACATCAGGCTTGATTACTTGTTTTATTTCTTAATATATATACATATGTATATATAAATATTCAAAATCTATGTCATTATTTCCATTTTCTTTTTTTCTGACTTTAATAGAAGGGCACATAAACATTCAAACATAACTGTACCTGCACTCAGTTGCTGGCTGGAGAATGGAACAGACCATTATTCACAACCTAAAAACAAAAGATAGTAATATCTCCAATAATAGCGAAGACAGGTATGTTAATAGAAAAATAACCTACACTGAATCTAAAAAATAACATAAAAGAGGAGTTGGAGCCATGGTTTTATGTGTTTTGCATCCTTAACCTGTATTTCCTACAATGATTGTGACAAATGAAGACCACATCTATTGGCTTCGTTAGGATGTATTTCCTTTTGAGGGTAGCTTTGCTATTTTTTTCACTTTTATTATTATTTATTTGCTTTTAATTTAATTTAATTTTTTTAATACTGGTAATCAGAAAAGGTGTGAATACCCGACTGCATTTGAACATTGCTTGAGCCCCCAAGCTGACGGTTACCAAATATGTTGCAAAGTCTGCTTCCTGCAGAATTCTCACATTGGCCGTTTATATGTGACCAATCAGTCCTGCACTAAACATGCAGAATAATAAAGAGATTTTTGTGTGTAACGACCTAAACAGTCAAGTGCAGACAGTTGCATGTATACCAGACCTTTATTTAAGGGCAATTTGTTGTCCCTCTTTTTCTTTTTCCCAGTAAAGCTGAGTGCCTTTTATATTCACCCACAAAAACATTGTTTCATGTGAAAAGCAGCATTGTTGAGCTCAACCACCTGTCCTGGATTTTTTATTCAAGTTTTAAGTCTCCTGCTTTCCAAAATAAAGTACATAATCATGACTGATTTGGTAACAGTTGCTCAATCATTAAGAAAGCATTGATACGAGGTGGGAAATGTGCTTTACTATGTGGCTATACTTTACTTAGATACACGACCTGAAACACTTTTGTTGTAATGGCTTCTGAAAGGTGTAGAAATCAATTAGCTGTATCATTTTGTATAAACACAGCAAGGGAAAGAAAACTGAAAATAAGTTAAAATACTTTAAAATAAGTGTAATTTCCCTTAATCTGCCAGTGGAATTAATATTTATGCCCTTAAGATAATAAAATAGACATTATGGATAGAAAATAAAATGTTTGTTTTTTCTCATATCTAATGTAAATTACCTTATTTGGTTGACATATTGTCTGACTTATCTTCTCAAATATAGGAAAAATCCACTTATTTTGCAATACCAACGTGCTGAATTTTATAATCCTTTTCAATAGGACCCAACTCAACCTTCTACTGCATTTTGCACCATATTTATTTTTGAGCTGCACTGAAATGTCATATTAATGCCCTTTTGGACCATAATTTAAACTGTTTTCTCTTTTTTTCTACATTATTTACATTCTGATCACTGCTGCACTTTATATTGGTAATGCTTATCTACTCTTATTTCAATTATTTCGTATCTATTCTTATTTCAAGAAAATGCGCCTACTTTGATGTACTTTTTTCAGTGTAAAATGAGAAGGGCAGATTTAGGTCTTCGGTGCTACTCTATATCTAAGATTTATTTCTAAAGTTTAAAGTTTTTAAGCATTTAACTCCTGCAACTTGTGTTTGTTTTACTTCCTACAGTCTGAACGTTCCATCACTGTTGATGAGCTTGAGGCTGACAGCGTTTACCGGGTGCAGCTACAGGTGCTGACCACAGGCGGCAGGACCGGAGCGGCCGTCTCAAAGAGCATTCACACCCCAGCAATTAACAACACATTTTCATAGGTAGTGGCATTCATTTCTGGAGCAAGGCATATACATGAATGTATTCTGAATTCATTTGTACCTTTTTTTTTTTATTTTATTATGCACATTGTAGATGACTGTGGTTCTTTTGCATGTTACTTTTTACGTTTTTACCACATAATGGTGACTCTTTGCTGCACCGTGGTCATCTTTTCCAGCGTCAATGTTTCTACCTTCTTGTTTCCTACCAGCTGATCTTAATGGCAGAAACCATGTGCAAAAATGTAATATAGGTTTTTACATTCAATTTATTTCCTGCTTTGAACTGTATTCCTTTATTAATTCAGATGCCAAACAGATTCATTTGAAAATAACTGTAATCTATTGTTCAGTTTTTCAGTGTTTTGGAAGAAAAATAAACTATACCTGTATGTGGAGCCACTTTTTACTGTACCTGTGGGATGTATGAGGCAGCATAGCATTTATGAATGTGCTCACATTAATACAGCCATATTAAATTTTCCCTCGCTTCAGTGAAAACCATAGCTTTTGTTGGGAAATTAATTATTGTTTAAATATCTGCATTGTTTGGTGTCTGTATGAGACTAATAACTTTGACAACCTTATATTTTTCAAGTCATAAACTATTGTAAATAGCCGTTTGTTTTCTGATGTTTTTTTATTCTGCTAGTGGAGAAAAGTATAGCACTGACTTTATGTAAAAATAGCAACAGCATTGTTTTTTCTCTGGAAATATTTCGATGCTGTCTCCAATATTTTTGTTTTTCCCTTCTTTTTTATTAGTTTTTTTTTTTTTTTTAAGATTTAGCTGTAGTGGTTTTATTCAATCTTTGAAAAGTCAGGAAACAGCCAAAGTCTTTCAAACTGTAATTACAATGTTAATATTTTCTACCAGGTAACTTTCAACTATTTAGATTCATTCTTAATAGTTCAGATTTATTGCTTTACTTTTTCTGTACCAAGTCCTATTTATTGTTCTCTTGTCCAGTTTGTTTTTGTAAATAAAGTTTATCACCACACATCGTTTCTGGTTGTTATTGATTATTATATTTTATATTAACAATAATAAAGACCACAGTATATTTTATTTAATGTTGGGAGAATTTTAGTTTTATTTCAAATGACATTAAAATAAAAACAATATAAGAACTTTTTCACACTTATTTTTTAGGAGGAGAATAATTGAAGTAAGTCTTGTGAATTTGTTTCTTTGTTATGATCAAGTAAAGGTCATTGGTTCAAAAAGGGAGTTTTGGATGAAAGTGAAAAGATTTTTTTTATATATATATAATTTATAGAATATTTACATGTTTTTAAATATATATAATTGCATTTTAATGTGCTACCAGGTGATTTTGTCTTACTTAAGGCAAGTATAGTTTTATAAGGAAGACATTATTTTCTTTTTTTCACATTTTAATATATTTACATTCTTAAATGCAGCTTAAATTCATTTTAATAGTTAAAAAATGATTACCATCTTTATTGAGTTGTATTTGTAAATATAATATTGGAAGGCAATTGAAACATTTCTTATACAGTATATCATGTCACATTAAATAGTCAGTGTTTCCTATGTAGATCTAAGCCAGGAAAAATTTGTACTTAATTAGTAATTTCAATAAAACTGATGTTACAGATTCATGCATCTCTTATAATTAGATTTGCCCTGAGTAATAATATAAAAATCCTTTAAAAAAACGTTTGAAACGACTTCAGACTTGGAAAACAAAGTCCAGTGCTTGCTTTTTAACTTTTTGTTGGAAAGCCTTAAACAAATTAATAAAAAAGAAGTAAAGTTACATTAAAGTAATAAAGTAATACATATGTTTTATGCAACCATTGCACATACATTTACAACCCTAAAATCAGGATATATTACAGCTGTCTGTGGGTCTATAATTTTAGCAGTTACTTGGGGAGATCAGTCACTCATCTATTTCACTCCCATCTACTGGGCAGTTATTGTAAATCCCCCCAAAACGTCTCAGCAGCGCCCTCTGGCGTCATAAAAGATAACCCGTTATAACCCATTCAATCAGTTAAAAAATGCTGGAATATTTTGGTATCCTACTGTATAAGGCACAGAAGAAGTAATCATATTTTCTGTCAATACTTATTCAAAATAGGAAAAAAAAAATCAAGTCGGCTGTAATTTAAATAAACATTTTAATTAGTGAAAGCTTTATAGAAGCTAGTTTTACCAAGCACATGTATAAAGCATGTTCAACGTTTTATTGTTTCCTGTATAAATGTCTATTTTAAAATTACACAGTTTAGTAGGAGCAGGGAGATGTCTATTGTCTAATAAATATTCAACTAAAAACCAATTAACTGTATAACAATTATTTCTGCAATGATTGAAGCAGTAAATTGAATAATGTGGAATATTATAATATTATCAACAAAAGATTCATTACAACTTCTTCAACAACTTACAATTTACTAAATAACTTAATAAAATACTTTCAAGAATTGAGCATATTTCTAACCTTAAGGTAACCCTTAACTATTAAAGTCTTACAAGATTTGTTTGCACGGAAAGTCTGTGAAGATATTGTTAATAATCTAAATCCACTGTTTAAAATAGGGGGGGGGGTGTTGTGCCCAAAAATGTACACTCGGTGTTAGATGCACCCAGTTACAAAAAGACAAAGGCAAAGGCAATTTTAACTTTTTAATGAGCTCGTAGTTAAATATTTGGAAATAAAAACTTTGAACCTATAAATTTCTATGAATATGCACAGCCCAACAACACATAAAAAATTTATGAAAATAGACTCGGTGTTCAGGTTGGGGGGGGGGGCATATTTTCGACACAACACCGGACGTCGCTTAGATTGAGTAGAAGAAGACAACGTGATGACGCAATGAAGGGGCGACGAAGGCTCGGATTGTTTCTTCAAATCGTGGCCAGACGGAACCCAGCTTGATATTTTTTTTACAGGCAAGGTTACGTTTAACGACGTCTATTTTGATTTTATGCTTTTGCTTTAGCCTGTGCAAAGCTTTATTGTTTTAGAAACTGGGGTCGTAGTTCCTTCTTGGTCAAACGCTTTCGCACTTCCCTCTGAAAATGGAGGAAATTGCCGCTTTGTGTTTTGTCTGCAGCTAGCCATGGCAGCTAGCTTCGGAGATATAGAAAACTTATGCAAAACTTTGGGAAATGTTGCCGTACGGTTCCAGAACGAATCTGTTGGTTATTAACAGAGTTTAATATACGTGTATATGTTGGATTTCTATAATGCAACGCGTTGGATAATATTAATTAAGTTTGTAGCGTTAATTATCATCTTTAGAGGAATTGTTGGTGTTTGTCGTCACTGATGGAGGATGCTAAACAGTAGTCAGTGGGATTAGGAGGAAAACATCCTGGGATGATGACGTTTACCTCTCCATTTACCACCGTTTCTCTTAGATTTTTTGTCATTTTAAGCATTTATCCCCCGTTTTTTTTTTTTTGGTTTTTTTAAAAAATTTTTTTTTTTTTGACAACGTGCAGTTAGTCATTAGAATAACAATGAAATCTACAGAATCTGCAGACACCTGCATCTCAGCTATTTAAAATGTAATTGACACGTTAAAGTTATTTAGTTTGAAAAGGTAAAACTGAACCGAGTTCACTATACAGAGAGTTTCATGTTTCAAACCTTTTTTGTTTTTCGCTTAAAGTTAGTAAAATCCAAACTTTATAGTTTTTTCAAAGAAATTATTATATTGCACAGAAATAAAAATACAAATCAGACCATTTTTAATACAATTCTGTTTTGTTCATGCTGCTTTTAACCATTTACAGAAATCTGTTTTTTTTTTTTTTATCAAAAGCAATATTAATGCGCAGAAGAGTTAAAATCAGTTGTGACATAAAGTTAAATAATCCTTTTATGATTTTTATATTGACAGCACATGTTGTAGCAGCTTTAGGAAAGAAAATGGCCTAAACAAAATGTCATCAGGATTAAAATTAAATTTAATCTGAAAGCATCTGATTAATTTTAGTTTTTTTATGTATGTTTATTTTCAAAATAACAAATGAATGTAATGTCCTTTTTTTGTATTCACTATGTTTAGGAGACCATGGTGTCGCTGTGACCCAGAGAAGCCGTTTCATCTCGCCTTCTGTTGTCCGTGCGAATTTTCCAATTAGACGTGGAGGAACGTGTGAGATGTAAAGGGTGGATCAATATACCTTTACTGTAAGCAGATAAGCTTAAAGGGAGAAGGGGACGGCAGTGTGGAGAGGGATGGGGTTAAAGAGCCGAAGCTGGACGTCATGGTTCACAGCAGCTCTAATTCCCCAATGACAACGCCGTCTGACTCGCTTCACCTGACTGTGTGTTCTAAAGCACCCCTTTTGTCTTGTCCCAGAGGTGCTACAGAACAGGAACTAAAGCAAACCTCTGCAGAATTGACTTCCCATCCAGCATTATCGCCTCCTACTGATGAACATCGCCATGTAACCACAGCAAAACCAAGCACTAAAACGAGCGCCGCATCCATCAGGCCCCAGACACAGACACCGACCTCTGCTCAGGACCAAATCAATGGCCGTAGATCAGCCAGGAAAAGGACTCCTAAGGCCTGTGATTGCTGTGGCCCTAACAGTAAGGGACACAATGTCGCAACCTCAGGCAGGGGGAGAGGGAGGGGTAGAGGTAGAGGAGCCAGTAAATACCTCGGGGACACCCCTGAAAGAAAACCACCACAGTTGACGCGTATCAGGAGCCTTCATTTAAGTGAGGAAGACATACAAAAATCATGCAGTGAAGATGATGGCCTGGAGGAGGTGGAGAACCCTGTACCTCGGTCACAAAGCCCTGCTCCCAAGCCGGTTGCAGCCATCACGGAAGATGGACCAAAAAATGACTGTGCTGCTCAAACAAATGGAGCCACCCTGACAAACGAGGACATGTTGGCGTCACCTACAGGGATGACTGTAGCAGCAGAGAAGACATATGTTGATAAAAGGGAAGAGGACCCATCGTATTCAGGACCAGCGAGCCAAGGAGCATTAGCGGTCAGAGGGCGAGGCAGAGGGGCCATGTTGGGGAGAGGTCGAGGGAGAGGAGCTGCAGTTAGGGGAAGTTCAATCGGCCACAGGCGAGGCAGAGGAGCTACATATAGGGGAAGACCGATCGGCCGCGGTCGAGGCAGAGGACAGGCAGAAATGGAAGGTAATCAAATAAAAAGTGCCGATATAGGTCATGTCACAAGTATGGGTGCCTTAGATGAATCGGCGTCGGTAGAGGAACCGGAGGAAATGCAGGGTGTACAGACGGACCACGAGCACCAAAAAAACTCAGCTTCAGGTAAACCTCTTATTGGAAATGGAGAATTGGTCCACCTGTCTGACTCGGAGGAGGAGATGGAGGAAGACGACGTTGCCGCGACTGAATTTGCAGATGGGGTGCTGAAATCCGCTACAAGCGTAGAGACTTCTGTAGACCTAGACTCTGAGATGCAGGTGGACCAAATGAAAGATGGGATTGATCAGGTTTCCCTTCCAGTACCACTGCCCAATGGAAATGTTACCTCGCCAAGAAACAATGACCAAACGTCCTCGCCTGTGGAGGTGGAAGCTTCTAGATCTGCTGTGCTTGCTCCTCCGAGCCCTATAACGGTTAGCATGGAGCACTCCTGGGCATTAAGAGACCACAGACTGTACTGTCATCCTACTTCGTGGGCAAAAGGTGAAATGTTGATAAAGGATCAAGCAGAAAATAAAGAGATGTGTACGGACGCGTCAAATGAAGAGAGCCTAGAGCAGCTTAAAGATGCCATCCATGGTAAGGAGTGTTTTTTTTTGTAGCACCAAGCTTTGCGTGGCAAACCCAGCTGGCATTTTTATGCTTATAAATATCAGATCTAAATTAGTAGTCGAAATTAGAAAGAATTTCCACCCTCCTTACAGTAACTACATGTTATTTGACAGATGAAAATAGCTACAGATTATCCAGATGTGTTTTTCAAAGCATATTTCTCAAACCTTTTGTCTAATTATGATTAATAAAAAAGGACATATAATTAAGTTAGTTGATTTCAGTTAAAGCATGTGGTTAAAAAAAGTTTATTTTTGGACTTGGGTAACATTTCTGATAAAGAAAATAATACTAAGCTTATTTGGGTGGTGGATCGATGCATGTCTGGTTATAATTTTATTTTTATTTTTTTATTTATCCTTTATTTAACCAGGTAATACCCATTGAGATTAAAAATCTCTTTTGCAAGGGAGACCTGGCCAAGATAGGCATCAAAATTACATCATATCATTGCATACGTACAACACACACACATAAAAGCCAAATATGCACTTACAATGAAATTTCAATGAAAACATTGACATGTGAGGGAGTCTAACTCAAAACATCTAATTCTCAGCTTAAAAGTATTCAAAGGAACCAATTTACTAAGATTCATGTTATTTTGCAGCATAAGATGCTTAAAGGGTTTTGTTGAATGTATTGAAGGATTAAAATCGTTGCAGTTTCCACCTAAAAACAACATTTTATGTCTTAATGCAAATATTTGGTTTATTTGCTGCAAATATTTTTCCACATTTATTACAGGGGTGTGGGGAAAACATAGATTTGGTGATATATCGTGATTTTCGGCTACTGAAATAATATAATATCGATCTTAAGTTCCTAGTATCGATTTTTTTAAAAACAAAACATTTTTACTACCGTACTTAAAACAATGCCAGGGATTAAAGTATTCTGGCCCCAGGCCAAATTTTTGGTTCGTAGTGATTGCCCGTGGGAAAAAAAATAATAATAATAAATAAATAATAAAATCACTTGAAAGTAAATTGAGTAAATAAAAAAATAAAATAAAAAAGACAATCAAAATCCCTCTTGCGTTTGTCTGCCAATGGTAGCGAAGGAGCGCTCTAAAGCTAACAGTATTAGCAAAACAGAAGAAGAAGGTGGCGGGTCTTAGGAAAACATGTACGGTACCTTCTACTCTAGTTTCTTGCTCAAGTCGCCAAATAGATTGTGGCACAGTGCTGAAGGGAAAGTCACCCACGCCGTTTACGGCTCCATTCAACGGAGAGACATATTAAAAGTAAAAAACGAAATAAATGAAACTTTGTTTTTGAAGAGAAGGACGATAAATAGAGAGAATGGAATTAGGGATGCACGATATTGGGATTTTGGCCGATATCCGATATGACGATATTTTAAAACTCATGTAGCCGATAACCGATATCGATACCGATGTTAAAGCTGGACAAAAATAAGTAGTCATTGAAAATAGCAGTTTTGTTATCCATTTCTGACACTTTGAAAAATAATATACTCAAATATATTTTCATATGCTGATATATTGCCATTTAAAAACACCGTATCAATCTCTTTTACTAATGAAATATTGCAATATTTCATTAGTAAAAGAGATTGGTATGGTGTTTTTAAATGGCAATATATCAGCATATGAAGATATTGTGATATTTTAATGTATCAATATTTTTTCCCTCGTCTTTAGAAGTTTTTAAGTCTGTAAAAAAGAAGTTTTTGAGGAAGAAGAAGAAGTAGTATTTTTTTTCATTTTTATTTAGACTTTAAAAACTCAGAAGCTGATCTAATATCGGGTTAAATATCGGTGGGGTGGCCGATGTCCGATATTAAGCTTTAAGGCCGATACAGGCCGATACCGATAGGGGGCCGATTATATCGTGCATCCCTAAATGGAATTGCAAGGATTGGGCACAATGCAGTTCATGAATTCCGGCACGCTTTGCTCCAGGAAGTCTAGTTACCCATCCAGCGGCAAAAAGATGTAGGCAAACATGAATTAGACCCAAACTGCTGTCCGTGAAGCCGCGCACACTGCACGTTTGCCGGGAGCTACGGCAACAGCTGATTTACCATCGTCAATAACTGACCGTGTATGCGAGTTAAAAATAAGGGTAAGGCTGTCGCGGTAACCGCACGAATGAAATATCGCGATATTAAGAAGTTCACCGCGTTACAAAACCGGCCACCACCATCACCGCATCTTGGGTCAACAGTTGAGAAGGATACAATGGCAGCTGCACTGGTATCAAAACCAAATGTTACTTCGTCCCTTTGGGAGCAATTAGGTTTTCAGCCAAATTAAAAGGGGGAGCCGAACAATTTAAATGAGGCAATTTGTAAAATCTGCGGCAAAACGGTTCAAGTAAATCGTGGAAACAACGAATTCAAAGGCTTATTTAGCTAGCTACCACCCAGCTGTTACGGCGCGGCTACCACCACCTCCTGCCAGTCATGAGGCAACTTTTTTTTAATTAATTAATTTATTTTTTTATTAAAGATGCTGCAGTCAAATTAGCCTTTAAAAGTTCAGCCTTCTTCTGAATTTTGTTTTTGTTAAGTTCAGTCGGAGAAATGAGGCATATCTGTGCCATTACTGCCCTTTGATCTGCGTTCAATAAAGTGTTATAAAATTGCCATGTCTTTTTATAACCTTTTTTTAATGTTTAAGCGCCCTGTTTCAAAGGATTTTGCCATGTAGTTGGTAATTTAACAATATGCAAACACATTTGCGAAATAAATAGATTAGAATAAAGAAAAAAAGATGGTGCAATAATATCGCATATTGCAATATTTAGCCTCCTTGAAAAATCGCAGGGGGAATTCCTCAACCGCGACAGCCCTAAATAAGGGTTTGTGCTTTCCTCACGTAATACGACCTCTCATTCAAACTAGATATAGATGCACTATTGCCATCTTCTGGCTGTTTTTGGTATTGGATTTTCAAAATCAAATTTAGTCTTCAAGCGTTTATGCAATCTCTGATCCCTTGTAGTTAATGCACTCACAGTGGGAGACGTGGACTGATTCAAACCCTAAACAACATGGATACCTATATAACTGATCAATATCTTCTGATGAACATATACAACACCTTTGTATCTATACATTAATTTTGATATTTGTGAAAAATATTGCAATGTACAGTGATGTTATGTGGTGATGATATCTTATCGCGACACATGCCAGTTCTCCCCCCTAGTTTATCCATGAAGGCACCAGTGAAACCTGTGGCTTTCATTTCTTTTTGAAGTAGATATATAATATATAAGATATACAAGATCTGAATTCCAATGGTCTTTATCTGTTGTAGTAAAAGGAAAAAAAAACTGTCAAATGTTATTTTGTACTTGAACAGGTTGTTTATCCAGGCTTGACAGTTTTAAAATGCTCCGAGGATCAGTGTTGGTCTTTGCTTTTACTTTGATTTATGAGGCAAAAACTATTTTATCTACAACATAAACAGCAAATAAATCTAATGCTGCGAACAACTTAAAACATGTAAAAGGTCAGCATTGTTGGAAATAGATATTTTAGTCTGCTCTAAAGTTAAAATAGGAGAAACGTGGCGCCACACAATGGCAACCCACTGCTCCGCAAGGGGCTGGGTCGAATAAAGAGTTAATTTCCCCATTGTGGGACAATAAAGGGATTTACATTACATGATGCATTTAATCTAGTAGTATTTGCCAAAGCAATGTTAAATGCATTGCTGCTTTATTAATTAGCATAACTATAAGCCAGTTTAATGCTGGTGATGATTGTCATTCATCCAGGTCACAGCCATTCCAAAAAAGTAAAATAACAACAACAATCCACTGGATTTTGGTTCCTAGTTTGAAGACATTTCACTTCCCATCCACAAAGCTTTTCAATTCAAAATGTCAGAATTAGCGTTTAGTTTGAAGATCTAAAACTTGTTTTGGCTTAAGCCGGGCTTACACTGCAATTAAAAAATATTTTTTTTTGCCCTTTTCGGGCCGACTTTCGTGGCATGTAAGAATTTTTACGATTGGGCCGACTTTCAGCCTTATCGTGCATTGTGTATTGTACAGGGGGTATCGAGGGGCGATCAGCCTCTCACGACCACCTCCCGATTAGGAATCGTGAGGTTGGGAGAAAACGTTTGATTTTCAGTCAAATCGCTCAGTGCGCTAACAAGGACTCTTCTTTTTCCTCTCAGATGAAAACACAGCAGCATGGCAGGGGTGCGAGTGAAATTGAGTTATTTCTGTAGAATTGACAGACAGTAGTAGCCATGTCTTTGCCCAAATACGTCACACAAAATTGCACAAATTTCCAAGGCAGCGCATTTCACTCTAATGATCTTCATATTCCTCTTCTACTCGAGTCCAACGTGGTTTTGAGACGTATAGCATGAGCAGGTAGATCGCATCAGAGCATCCTGAACATGCATTGTGAGCTGTAAACTCACACTGTACAACAAAACAACAGGGTTTCGTCGTACAGTGCGAGCTGTAGCTGTGTGCAACAATAAAAAAAACAAATCCTAGTGTATGCCCGGCTTTAGACAACATGCAGATTGAACCAGAAGAACGGGTCCGTCCCTTAGAAATGGGGGGTCATTTTCGGTTCTTTGTTAGCCTGCAATACCCGATACTGATCTATGCCTCTGAAAAGGGGGTCATCGGGGGCAATTGTTATCCATGTGAGATGTTTTGTCCCCTGCATGGGGGTGGGGGGTTGTTATTATAGCAGAAAGGAATCAACTCTTATCGCTGCATTTAGAGCTGAAACCTAAGTCCAACCCCCCCTTTTTAAAGGAGAAGTTCGGTTTTTTACACTTTAAGCCCATTTTCTGTAGTGTCCAGGATGAAATCGAATGATCGACACCAAAAGTTTGACAA